CTGCGTTGTTAATAGCGCCCTGCAGGGACCGTGCAGGCTGGCTGGGTTGCATAGTGTCCACATCGATGCGGGAAATGTGGGCATGCATGGTGATGGGACGTGAGGAGGGCCGGTCCCCTGCTGGGAGGTGACTGGCTTGGCCTGAGGGACTGTAGCTGAGGGAAGATGGACCAGGAACGGTTGCACGATGGGTGTGGGAGAGTCAGGGGTCTTGCGAGTGAGCCAGTGCCAGGAGCTGTGAGAACCAGGGCCAGCCCCTGGGCAGCCTGGGCGTTTGGGGATGGGCTGTGGAGCAGTTTTCATGGGAGCGCCGCAGCCTGCTGACGTTTTCTTCAGACGTGCAAGGCGTTCTGTCTCCGGCTTGCCCTGCCTCCAGCAGGAAATCTCCAGTCCTCTCGGTTTTTCCCTCCAGCTGCTTTGAAGAGTTTTCACTGCCCCTGGTTTTGAGCAGTTTGATGAGGACGTGCTTCGGTGTCCTGAGCGGTCTGACGAGGACACGTTTTATGTACACGTACGCTGCGTAACAGCCTTTGAGACTGGCCGCTTTTATATTCACGGAAGGCTTCGCCATGTGTTTTCGTGTCTCTTTAGCGCTGAGTGAAACTCCACGCTGGGCGTGGGCTGCAGCTCGTTCATCTGCATCCCCGTCGAAGGACGTCTTAGTAGCGTCCGCGCGTTGGCAGTTACGCATCTAGCTGCCCTCGTGCAGGTTTTTGTTTTGACACAACTTTTCGGCCCCTTTGGGTGAATAAAGAAGCCCGATTGCCGGACCGTGTGATGAGAGCCTGTTTAGTGAGAAACTGCCCAACTGTCCTCCCGCGGCCCTGCCGTGTCACACCCACCAGCACCGAGTGAGCTCCCGAGGCCCGTGTCCTCCCCCGTGTTTGGTGGTGTCAGCGTTTGCGTTTGGCCGTTCGAATCGGTGTGTAGCGGGATCTTGTTTTCCATCGCCTTCGAACATGTGCGTAGTTCTGTACCTTTCTGGCGCTCTTAAGTGCTTCGTTCCGACTGCATGTTGCCAAGAGGGATAATTGTCTTTGAGTCTGAAGTGCCGCATTTAACTTGTGTTGTCTTGTGGATTCTCTGCGGTGACATTTGCTTGGGCTTAGCTCTTCCATGGATCAAAAGGCCCTAATTCCTCCTCCTTTTCTGAAGTGCATTTTTACAGGATATAGAATTCTGAGTGGACTGTGTTTTTCTTTGGGCACGTTAAAGTTGTCCTCTTCACGCCTGCTTTCTATTGTTTCTGATGAGGAATTTTCTCATTCTTCTGTTTTCCTTAATACGAAATCTCTTACCTCTGACTATATAAATGATTTTCTTTTATTTTTGGACTTTGGCCGTTTGTGATGTACCTGGGTCTGGTTTTCTAAACTGAGCTACTTCGACCTGAGGGTGGGTGCCTTGTAACAGATTTTGAAGTCTTGATTGTTATTTCTGCAAATATTTGTTTTCTTTTTCTTTCTTAGAGTTCCATTTCTGGAAGAGTATTTCTCAATTTTTTCTGATGTCCCACTCTGTCTTTTGGGTCTCTGGTACACGTGCCACGTCCTGGGTGTTGTCCCACAGGTCTCTCCAGTCACTGGTGTTACGGCCGTGGTGACCCACAGGTCTCTCCAGTCATGTGTCACGGCCATGGGTGTTGTCCCACAGGTCTCTACAGTCACTGGTGTCACGGCCGTGGGGGTCCCACAGGTCCCTCCAGTCATGCCGTGGGGGTCCCACAGGTCTCTCCAGTCATGTGTCACGGCCGTGGGTGCCCCACAGGTCCCTCCAGTCATGTGTCACGGCCGTGGGTGTCCCACAGGTCCCTCCAGTCATGTGTCACGGCCGTGGGTGTTGTCCCACAGGTCCCTCCAGTCATGTGTCACGGCCGTGGGTGTTGTCCCACAGGTCTCTCCAGTCATGTGTCACGGCCGTGGGTGCCCCACAGGTCCCTCCAGTCATGTGTCACGGCCGTGGGTGTTGTCCCACAGGTCTCTCTAGTCATGTGGCCACAAATGTTGTCTAGCAGGTCTCTCCAGTCGTGTGTTACTGCCCTGGGTTTTGTCCCACAGGCCTCTCCAGTCACTCATGTTACAACCCTGGGTGTTACCGCACAGCAATCTCTTTGTTCTATTTTTTTCTTTCTCTGTGCTTGTGTTTGAATAATTTTTTTTTTTTTTAATTTTTTGGAGACGGAGTCTTTGTTGCCCAGGCTGGAGTGCAGTGGCGCGATCTCGGTTCACTGCAACCCCTGTCTCCGGGGTTCACGCCATTCTCCTGCCTCAGCCTCTGGAGTGGCTGGGACCACAGGCGCCCGCCACCAATTTTTGTATTTTTAGTAGAGACGGGGTTTCACCATGTTGACCAGGCTGATCTCGAACTCTTGACCTCAGGTGATCCACCTGCCTCAACGCCCCCAAAGTGCTGGGATTACAGGCGTGAGCCACTGAGCCCAGCCCTTTTTTTTCCGAGATGGAGTCTTGCTCTGTTGCCCAGGTTGGAATGCAGTGGCGCGATCTCGGTTCACTGCAACCCCTGTCTCCCGGGTTCACGCCATTCTCCTGCCTCAGCCTCGAGTAGCTGGGACCACAGGCGCCGCCACCTCGCCCGGCTAATTTTTGTATTCTTAGTAGAGATGGGCTTTCACCATGTTGGCCAGGCTGGTCTCAAACTCTTGACCTCGTGATCCCCCCGCCTTGGCCTCCCAGAGCGCTGGGATTACACGCCTGAGCCACTGCGCCTGACCCAGAAGTTACACCCTTAAGACCCAGTCCAGGGATGCCAGGGCCTTCGGCAGCAGCAACCAGGAGTCGTCATCCACATTATGATATTTCGGTGCTTCGATTTCTCTGCTGCCCACACTGACCTTATTCTCAGGGGCAGTACCCTTTGTGGTGACTGAGATGGCACCAGAAGCTGCAGGCACACAACCTTGCATCTGTGATTCCTGTGGGAAGCCTGTGTCTTGCCCAACAGTTCCAGTAAAACTGGTAAAATGTGTTCCTGGG